AAAATAAATAAAAAAATAAAAAAGAAATAGAAGATAGGGTGTAGTGGCACACTCTTTAACTCAGTACTTGGCAAGCAGATACGGGGGACCTCAGAGTTCCAAACCAGCCAGGGCTATACAGCGGGACCCTGAACAGGAAGCATTGCTTCTAAGGAAGCACGGATACTGACAGCTTACACCACTGCACGAACTCAGGGTAGAGCACGGGCTTACGGTTTCCATAAATGCTACTTCATCCTCACTACAACTTTAAGACAAAGACAAGAGCCTGGCAGCTATGTTGCATTCCAGGAGGCAGAGGTGCCCTGAGGTCAGATGACGGGGTCAGGTCCCCTGGGCTGGAATTATAGATGATTGTGAACTATCATATGGGTACTGGGAACTGAACCTGGGCCCTCTGGAAGAGTAGCCTGTGCTCTTAACCAGTGAGCCATCTCTCCACCTCAACCCTACTGATTCTTGCTCCTGGGGTGAACATGTGGGTTTTCCTTCCCCCTGCTGGAATGTTGGTAATTTTGCCTCTGCAACCATTAGGATTGTGGAGAAATTACGGAACCGTCCTGTCTGAAGGCAGGACGTAAAGTACACTGCAGCTTCTGCCTTGCTCTTGGGTCTGTTTTAGTTCCAGAAGCTACTCTGTGTGACAGATTCTAAGATCGTCCTAACAGCTCCCATCCGGCATGCACTTCTACTGTCATTAAACCAGGAGGAAAGATCTGTGTCCTCTCCTTGAGTCTGCATGGGTTTCTGACTAATAAGTACACAGTGGCCATGAGGGCATGTGACCTCTAGAGCAGGTAACAGAACACAGCTACTGCCTTATTCACGATAACATTGCTGCTTGGGGTCTCAATATATGGCCTAAGTCTGATTACCTGAGGCCACCATGCCAGGGAAGGCTACATTACATAGAAGGGACCCAAGGGACCCAAGGGACCCAAGGGACCGGTTAGAACTCTTCTGCTTCCACTCACACAGCCCACGTACAGCACTGAGGGGGCCAACTCCAGCCCCATGCTATTTCAGTCTTCCTAGCTGAGAACCTAGCTATGGAACAGAAACCAATTCTTGTCCTTGCTCTATTGAAATTATCCAACAGAGCCTGCAGGCATTTGACAACTGTTGAGTCATTACAATCTGGCCATTTGTCTCACAGTAATGGTAACAAGAACCCTGTTACTCCTGACAGGTCTCAAATTCCCCATTAGTTTACAAACAGGATAATTATCTTTAGGGTGCCAGGGAGACAGGATATGTCTACAGGTGGATCAAAAAGATATAAACACATGGGCCAGGTGCAACTCAGTGGTGCACTGTTGGCCTCACCTGAGCAGTCCTGGGTTCGACCCCCAGCACAGAAAAGAAAAAAACAGGTGAGAGCAAGGGAGGGAGAGGAGAAAGGGGAGGAAGACAGAACCCAGCAACTGAGTCAAAATGTTTATCTGAGTCAATATGAATTTTATTAACACACATTTGCCAAAGTCTGTACAAACCAAAACATTCCTATGTTTTAAAATGTCCATTATTACAAACATACAAAGAAACGGAAGGTGTTACCAAAAGTTACTCAATTTCATGGTAAAATGCTGTCATGATTTAAAAAAAAAATCAACATTTCAAGACTGAGGTTTCCCTTTTACCTTTCAGGAGCTCATGATAGTTTAGAAACTGTGTAGGTTTGCTGAATATTAAATGCTAAGACCTTAAAAAAAGATTTAGTATAAAACTAAATGAGCGTCTGTACACTGTCACAATTCACAGCCACAGTCTCTCAGTCTGATGTTTTGTGTAAGAAACCACGAATGTCGTTCTTTTCTACCATCTTTCCCCAGCCAGCACGAGCGCACCTGAAAACACTGTGTGACAGACAGCAGTTATCGCTGCTCACAAGATTCTCCTTCAGAAAGGTACAAAGTGACTCCCAGCAGTTCTCCCGCACTCCCCACCCGGTGACATGATAACAACACTCCTTCCAATCTCCCCCCGAGGAGACAGCCCTCATGGCCTCATGTCTGCAGCTGTCCATCTCTGAGAATGCAATCGCAATCGACAGAACCTGCGGGAACAGCGAACTCCACTGCCCAACGCTGGGGATGCGGGACAAGTGTTACCTGTCTTCACGATCCGTTCTGACTCCAGCACCACCTGCACTGATCCCAGGGCTGGTTCTGGGTCATGGCACACACTACCCTCTCCCTTCCTGCCTGCCTGCTGTGTGAGAGAAGAGCACACTCAGGGAGGCCCAGCTGCTCCCTGGAGTACTTGTTTTCTAACATCGTCATTAAGAAGGGGGGGGGGGGGCGCAGAGGATGGGGCGAGAGGAAGGGAGGTGCAGTGAGACTCTCCCCATCACACAGCCCACGTCTAAGCAGCCCTGCTGACCCCGGAAACACTCAAGTTCAAATCTTATCCCACTTGAATCTGCTCATGGTAAAAAAAAAAAAAAAAAAAAAAAAGTTCTGTTAACAGCCTGGTATGACAGCTGACACAAGCAAGAAACAGGTTATGTTTTTAAAAAAGAAGTGGCAGTGTGGGAACTGGAAATTATGTAAAAGGAGAAGGAGGGGTAGATAGAGGAGGGAGTGTCCAGTATAACCTGGACAACCGTTCTTTCTGCCCTTACTTAAAGACAGACTGGTCAGTTCTCTGCACCCTTAAGCATCTCCTCCAATGCTCTTCCACAGAGTCCTCCGAAGGCACTTAGCTCCACACTTAGCCTCCAGCATTACCTTAGCATTGGAACTCCAAGGTAACGAGAAAGAAAAGATCGGATTCTTCTACTAAAAACTAGCAAACGAGACTGCATTATTTTTCTTTTTTTTCAAAGAGGCATTGCTTTTACAAGAACTAGCTAGGCTACCATCATTCCTTTATCAAGAAAAGGTTTCCTTTTTAAAAAATAAATAAAACTCTGTCTATACATAGTACAAAGGTCATACATAATATACCTGGAAAAACCCTGAAGCAAAGGTTTATTGGTGAGAGAAAGCTCTCCCCGCACGAAGTCTCGGGTGGCAGTGATGCACAGTGACGACAGACTACTTGCTCGTGAGGATGGCAGGTGTAACGGTGGACAGAAACTCTGCACATAACACTGAGCAGTGACCACTATAGAAACAGAGAGAGAGGAGCACAGGGAAGCAGAGGAGGAATAGGAGGAGGAGGTCTGAAACCCCAACTGCTGAGCATGCAGTCGTAACAGCACAAACCAGGTGTTTCCACTCAGCCCGCTACATTCGCACAAAGAAGGGTAACGGTAAGAAAATAGAGATTCTGTAAGAAAGCACAGTTCCCAGAGAACAGCCGGGTGGCCAACCCTGACCCAGGAGCAGCGGCTGTTGTTGTGGGAGCCTTCTCATGGTCTTCATGGAGACGTCATCGTGCCTGACTTCTCCGACTTCTTGCTCTTGGACAAAGCAGCTGCCTGTTTCAGAAGCTCTCGGTTTTTGGCCTAAAAATAATAATAAAAAAAAATCAGTGCAAGAAGAGTTTTCACAGGCTAGTTGGTACATGGCTTCTGTGAAGAGTGAATTTAATGGGCAATAATAACAATAAGAAGGACAGCTGTCTGTGTAGACGAAAAGGAGGGAACACTACGAGGCAGACACTGGTCCAGAGAGGAGAAATCAACAGCAAGTTCTGGGCCTGACACCTGGCTAAGTAAAAGAGTTTCCGGTAGAAGTGCACTGGTGAGCTTGAGCCCTTGGGGCTACTGCACAAAAAGATGGTGTGTGCAACACAACCAACCAGGAAGCTTTAATGAGCAAGATAGGGAGATCTATAATTCAGACATCTGGACTCACATCTGGTGAATTAAAAAAATAAAAAAGCATATTTTAAAATTTCAGTTCTTGAGAGAAAAAGATGAAAACACAGGGCTGGAGAGATGGCTCAGAGGCTAAGAGCACTGGCTGCTCTTCCAGAGGAACTGGGTTCAATTTTCAGCAACCATATAGTGGCTCACAGCCATCTACAATGAGATCTGGTGTCCTGTTCTGGCCTTTTAAAAATAAAAAAATGAAAGCCCACCCAACTTAAATAAAAAATGAAAGCTGTCTGAAGGGGTTCCGCGTACTCTGTAAACACTCAGAGAGAAAGCCATCTAAGGGACGGTTATCAGACAGTCCTGAGCACCCTGCTCCCGACTCACTCACCTGCAATTGCTCTGTGACTTCTTTGTGGGTTTTCTCCATTTGGTTCATTTTGGCCCGAGTCTGAGACTCCTGATACTGAAAATCAGCCTTTAGCTCTGTAATCTGAAGGAAAAAGTCCAAGTGACTTAAACTCCTTGATAATGGCAGAGATCTAAAAAGACAGTCTTCTAACTTACTGAAGCCCACTTCCATCAACAGCCACACGGCATTCTTTTTCCTTAAGGCTTCTCTGAGGAGACCCAAACTCCTGAGCTCACTACTTTGCTCCCTTCCCTTTTCTTTGCCCTCTCCCCTCCAATCTCTCTCTCCTTTCTTCCTTTTTGGGTTTCGTCACCAGGCTATCTTCAAAGTCCTAGGGTCAAGAATTCTCCTGTCTCAGTTTCCCAAGTGGCTATGGTTACAGCTGCATACCACCGCACCCCCCTCCCCCCACTAGTGCCGAAGGCAACCCTGAGTTCAAGGCCGGTCTAGGCTTAAGTAGTGAGACTATCTCAAAAACAAATAAAACAAACACACACCCAAACAACAACAGCAAAAACCTTTAGATACTTAAACTACTAATCATTTTAAGATTTGATTCTCCGACAACAGAAGTAAAAGCTGACAGGGTTTGAGAGGAGTTGAGAGCAATCATTGCTTTCAATTCCAAAATAAATGGTTTTATTATTTTATTCAATCTTCACTTATTATTTTAAAATTATTTATTCTATTATTATTTATGCATGATATGTGTGTGCACAAAAGTCACACAGCACACATGGAGTCAGGGGACAACTATGTGGCACTGACTCTCTCCTTTCACCTACAGATGGATTCCAGGGATCCAGTTCAGGCTGTCAGGCTTTGGAAGCCAGCACTGTACCAACTGAGCCACTTCACTGTACCTATTGTTTTGTTTATTAAAAGATTTGTAAGTTACACTTGCTTATCTATTTACATGTGAGGGTCTGTATACAACAGCGTGCTGCAGTTGTCAGAGAGGGAGTCAGTTCTATCTACCATGTAGATCCTGGGGATCAAATTCAGACCACTGGGTTTGAAGGCAATCACCTGTACCTGCTGAGTCATCTAACTGGCCCTATTTGTATTAAAAATTAACTCAGGCTGTGTCTGATCTTTATAGCAGCCATGAGGACCAGCAGTGTTAATGTTGTGCTGATCTCCACCTCCAGACTCATGCCTACTGGTTTAGAGGAGGGCAGCTAACAGTGATCAGTGAGCTGAGTGGAGACAAAATAACAGGCATGGAAGCAGAACAATATGGATAAAGGCACAAAGATACGCCACCAAGGGCTGTTATTTCAAGGGCTGATGACTTTACAGTCGCAGCAGACAGGACTACAGATAGGCAGGCACAACGCATGTAGATGGTGTCCTAACCAGGCAGTGTGATTTTCATCCTGGAGGTACAGGACACAAGAGCTATTTGGCTTTTTTCTCTTCAAGCCTTTAGTTCTGCAAGGAGGAAGCAAATGCTCTTCTGGTCCCTACTGTGCAGAAGTCCTGTCTGTGCCATTCTCATCTGGTCCAAGAACTGTGGGTGTCTGCCATCTGTCCATCATATGGCAGAGTGGAAAAGATACAGGTACTGGGGGCTGAGGTGAAGTGTGTCTAACGTGCACAAGGTCTTAGGATCCCCCTCCCCCACAGCCAAATGCATGAAAACACAGGAACTTCTATAAAATTTAAACCATGCATGGTGGTACATGCCTGTAATCCCAGAACCAGGGAAACAGAAGATCAGAAGTTCAAAGTCATCCTGAGCAGCACATGAGCTCAAGCCCAGCCTGGGCGCGCTCGCTCTCTCTCTCTCTCCTCTCTCTCTCTCTCTCTCTCTCTCTCTCTCTCTCTCTCTCTCTCTCTCTCTCTCTCTCTCCTAGCATGTATCTAGAATCCCAGTACTTGGGAAGCAAAAGCAGGACTGCCACAAGTTCAAGGATAGTTTGGTCTCTAGGGCAAGTTCCAGGAAGTGAGGACTGCACGGCACACCTGTCTCAAAAACAGGACAAGGGTCAGGGAGGTGGCTCTGTGAATACAAATCAGCAGTTTCAATCTGTGGGCTGAGACCCCATTGGCAAACCTCTATCTCCAAAAATATTTACAACACGATTCATACTATTAGGTGTTTGTTTTGTTTTGGATACAGGGTATCTCTATGTAACCCTGACTGTCCTGGAACTTGCTCTGTAGATCAGGCTGGTCTTGAACTCAAGAGATCCCCTGCCTCTGCCTCTGGAGTGCTGAGATTAAAGGAGTGTACCACCACCATCCAGCTACATAACACAGTTAACAAGTAGCAACAAAAATAATCTTATGGTTGAGGGTCACTACAACATGTGAACCGTATTAAGGGGTCGCAGCATTAGGAAGGTTGAGAACCACTGGTATAGAAGCTAGCCACCAAACCCAAAAACCTGGGTCCGATTCCCAGGATCCACCTAGTACGAAAGAGGACTCAAGTTGTCCCGACCTCCACATTTATGTGCACATACCTCTCCTGCCTCAACATGCACACATACACAGAAAAAAATAAAAATATAGCCGGGTGGTGGTGGTGCACGCCTTTAATCCCAGCACTTGGGAGGCAGAGGCAGGCGGATCTCTGTGAGTTCGAGACCAGCCTGGTCTACAAGAGCTAGTTCCAGGACAGGCTCCAAAACCACAGAGAAACCCTGTCTCAAAAAACAAAACAAAACAAAACAAAACAAAAATATAATAAATGAAAAAAACCAAAAACAAGGGCTAGAGAGATGGCCCAGTGTTGCTTTTGAAGAGGTTACAGGTTTGATTCCCAGTACTCACAAGGTGGCCCACAACCATCTCTAACTCCAATTCCAGAGGACGGACGCCCTCTTCTGGACTCTGTGGACACTGCACGCACATGGTGCACAGACACGCATACAAACACCTATACACATAAACAAGCTCTGCTTCCTGGCTACAGGTACACTGGGCTGGCCTCACCTCCTGCCAGATTTTCCTTGCACAGACAATCCCTCCAACTACAGGCAAAAGTAAACTCTTCTTCCCTCTAAACACAAGACAACACAGCTAGGCGATAGTAGTGCACACCTTTAATCCACCCAGGAGGCAGGTGCAGGCGGCTGAGTTCAATCCACCCTGGTCTATAAAATAACCACCATCAATAACAACAACAAAAAAACCCCGGCTGGGTTGTAGTGTGTAGTGGCACATGCCTTTAATCCCAAAAAAAAAAAAAAAAATGCAAAAGGCCAGTGAGTTGATTCAGCCGGAAAAAGCACTCATTGCCTTTGCAGAGGACCCTGGTTTGGTTCCCATCACCCACATAGTGGCTCACAACCACCTGTAACTCCAGATGCAGTGGCTCTAAGGCCATCATCTGACCTCCAAGGATGCCATGCATACTGTGGTGTACATATGCACATGCAGGCAAATACTCATACACTTAAGAAATAAATCTAAGATGGGCATTGATGGTGCACGCCTTTAATCCCATCGCTCAGGAGGTAGGGCAGGCAGATCTCTGAGTTTGAGGACAGTCTGGTCTATAGAGTGAGTTCCAGGCTGGGTCAAAAAATTACAAAATTTAAAAAGAGCAATCAAATCATCCAGGAAGAAGCAAGAAATGGGCATCAGGTTGTTTTAGCCTGAGGGTATTAAACATTTCTCTTATAATGCCGTTTTATATCCCAATTCTACACTCACTCAGTAACTTCTTTCCTTTTCTCTCTCTCTTTCTTGACAGGATCCAGGCTGGTTTAGAAGACATCAACCTGTATAACTTCCTAACTGCTGGAATTACAGGTTTGTGCCAGCACACCCGGCTTTTATTCAATATATTGAGATGGCAACCTTCTATGACAGCTCACACTAAGTACTATGTTAGCTAAGAATGTAGCTTAGTGGCACAGCATTTCCTAACACACACAGGACCCTGGGTTTCGTACCCAGGAACCTGCCCCCTCCTCACCACCCATATGTGTGCACATGTGAGCACACACATACACATAGACACACACACACAGAGTGTACTGTTATATGCTCTTTGCTGGAGACTGAACTCTAGGTCTGTCTGGTGCATACTAGACAAGTACTTTGAAGCTGAGCTACAACCTCAGTCTTACATGTTATTTTTATATCCTGTTGTTAGTTTCATTAACTAGTCCTGTCTGAGAAGTAGGAGTTCCTTGGAAATGCTGAAAAAATCAGATTTTTGAACCCATCAGCTGAGGTGGTTGGCCAACCTAATGCCATCCCAAGTCAACTTGGCAAACAGATACCTTCTTCTCAGGGAATCCCAAGCTGACCACAGACTCTCTTTTAAGCCACCAATGGTAAGTACCCAACATAGAGGAAGCATCATACCCATCCCATGGACCTTTATTTTGTCAATCTCTGGCCTGAAAGGCTTCAGTGACATCATACCTTCTTCTCTTTCTCTAAGATCATCTGATCCTTCTGATGCAGCATCTTCTTCAGAGTGGCCACCTCTTCCTTCAGCTGGGCAATGATGACGAAGTGGTCAGTGCCAGGAGAATCCAGAGCCAGGTCTGGGGAAAAGCTGGGTGGAAAATGGAGACGGAAATTCCATAACTTGAATGGAAAACTTTTCTCTACTTAAGAACATACACCAGGTCACCTGATGGTGAACTTGGGGGCTTCAGTAACTATCTAAATTCCCACCAAAAAGCACATTGCTCTGTCTACATCAGACTCACCAGGATCTGCTGGACTTGAACTAAACACAATAAAAGTAGTCATCAGAAAATGATGCCAACCCAAACCACAACCCCACAACCTCTCATACATGGGACCAACAGAATACGACATCCTAAAAGTCATATACTACATCATATACTACTTCAGGCTCACTGAAGGTCTCTGGGGTTTCTGGTGATACAGCCATGCTTGTGATTAGAGAACTTTTCCTACAGTCCTGGATAGACTATCAGTTATGAGCACATGCCCAGCCCTAATTCCTGTGATGGGTTTCAGCGCCTAAGAAACTGAAGCACCAGCTGGCTGGGGCTGGCCCAGCCTTTACTCCTAGCACTCAGGAGCCAGAGGCAGGTGGATCTCTTGTGAGTTTGAGGCCAGGCTAGGCTACATAGTGAATTTCAGGACAGTTGGAACCACAGTATGAGACCTGGACTCAAACAACAACAAAAAGAATTTGAGATGGGCAGTGGTGGTGCACGCCTTTAATCCCAGCACTCTGGTGGCAGAAGCAGGCAGATCTGTGTGTTCAAGGCCAGTGTGGTCTACACGAGCTAGTTCCAGGACAGCTAGAACTGTTACTCAGAGAAACTCTGCTTAGAAGAAGAAGAAAAAAAAAGAATTTGTGTTGTGTAGTGGAAAAAGGGTCAAGGGTGAAACTCCAGTCACGTCACATGCTTCCTACAACTCTCCACTTTGTCAACACCGGTGATGCTCACTTCCTTTTAGCAGCCCCTCCCACTTTCTCCCATTACAGGGAATCTGTAAGGCCCTGAAATTTGCGTTTTGCCCATGCAAAATCTTTTCTGGATGAGGATCCAAAGTTTTCAGTTGTATCAAAGGTACCTCAGAAAACAAGCAATCACTGCCAAACGGTCACTTCCTGTGTTTCTCCAAGGAATCCTCAAAGGAAGTTCTTTACTTTCTTGATAATCTTTAAAGCAACACACAAATCTGGACACCGATCTCAATCCTCTGCCAACAGAGCAACAGCGCACAGCCCCCTTGCATTTGCTCCTTCCTGACTCTTACGTGGCAGCTAACATGCAGCACTGGAAGAACCCGAACAGCCTTTCTACTGCATATGCTCCCTCACAGTTGGCAAGTCAGATACTCCTATGTGGGGGGCTGGAGGACACCAACCACTGACCCCAGCAACGCCCTCACCCCGCCCACATGAAGCATCTGAACAGAGCACTGGAGGAAGACTAGACTGACGTTCTCCTAACTGATGAATGTGCACAAGGGCAAGTGAGGGACAAGCAAAAGCCAATGCAAAATAACAAAATAGGGATTCAGGATAAGGGCCCATCAGTCTTCTCCAAGTTCAGTTCCGGACATTTCCTTGTATCCCCACAGAGCCTATTTAAATTCATAACTCTAGCAAGGAAGGGCAGAGTACTTGCTGACCTAGCGTAACTTTTCATTGTCTCCAAAGCCTCGAAAGCTCAGCTCCACTCTTACCTGCTTCTTAGGGAATTATCTCTGTTGTTGCTGTTGGCACTGCTGGGGATTGAAGCTAGGGCCTCATTCACACCCTGCATCAGGGCCCGATCCTCTGACTCTAGCTCCCGTCTTACTCAATGACTAGCTGCCAAGGCAGAAAGCTAGTCCCTCCAAATCCCTCCACACACAGGGAACTTACTGCTGCTCCAGGATGTTTCCTGCCTTTTCTGAAAGCTTTTAGCACAGAACAGGTTCTCTGTTAAGAGGCTGAGGCAGGGAGATAGGAGATTCAAGGCCAGCTAGTGCTGAACAGCAAAGCCCACTCTCAAGACAAATAACTCTTTTCCTGGTTGAATCAAAACAGGGTTGTAGTAACAAAGCAAAGGCCACAGGAAGCCTAATATTGCAGGCACAGCTCAAAGGCAGAGGATAAACTGAAATTTAAAAGGTTCTTTGGAAATGACAAGCTGTAGATTCCTGGCTGCCAACCACTGCTAAGCTGATTCTGGACCACCTATGGAGCACTTAGCAGTATGACAAGAGTGACAGGTCTGTTTTCTCAAGGAAGGAATGCTGTCTAACTCATACTCCTCAAATCAGAAAGTTTGGGTCACAATTTTAACTATCGATTAGAAAATACAGAGTGGGGGCTGCGACTTTTGTAGATTACTGGAAAACAATTAAGTACACCTTCTGGGTATCAAAACATCAAAGAAAGCTAAGATAATGTGTTCTGTCTACAACATGAAAAGCCAAGGGACGATGAGTGAGAGGGGAGGCGGGGCACAGTGGTGCACACTATTAATCCTATCATTTGAGAGGCAGAGATGGATGCAGGCAGATCCCTGGGTGCTAAGCTAAGAAAGTTCCAGGACTGCTTCTTAGATATTTGGCAAAGACCAGGTATAGTAATATTCTTATCAATTTAACAGAAAGTTCCAGTTCAGCCAGGTCTATATAGTGAGACCCTATCTCAAATGAGAGACAGAGAGAGAATGTTAATCAACATGCCTCAATATTAAATAAGAGAATATGGCAGTATAAGATCACCATAGAACTGTCATGAAGCAACATACATACAGAAGGCATAAAGAATAAAATTTAAAGAGCAAAAGCATAAATTAAAAAAATTAGTGCTAGAGATTGAAACTAAAGGCCTTATGCTAAGGAAGCACTCAGCAGTTACTCAAAAGTTGCTCCCATCCTGAGTATATGAGTATATATCATACGTCAGGGCTAGGGATGTACCTCAGCAGATAGTACTTGTCCAGCACGCACAAGGCTCTGGGCTGGATCCCTAGTAATACATAAACCTGGCAAAAGTGGTCCATGCTTGTAATCCCAGTACTCAGGAGGTAGAGAGGAGACTAATCAGAAGTTCAAGGTCATCCTCTACTACACAGAGAATGAGACCAGCCTGGGATACAGGAGACCCTCTCTTATTTATACACATACACCTTTATATACGCCCCAATTTATACAGATACACATACTCTCTCTCTGTCTCTATCTATCTATCTATCTACACACACATATATATGAAGTGCTTGCTTTGGCAGCACATATACTAAAATTGGAACAATACAAAGATCAGCATAGCTGCTATGTAAGGATGACAAGTAAATTCCTGAAGCATTTCATAGTTATAAATAAAGTATTGTTAGAATATTTAAGAAGTGTCAAAATTTGTAGAAATGCCTCTTTTGTTACTGTTTTTTGAAGCACTGTTTCATGCACTCCAGATTGATTTGAGTTCCTTAAATGTAGTTGAGGATGACCTTGAACTCTTGATTCTCCTGCCTCCACCTCCTGAGTGCTGGGATGACAGGTGGGTGACACCAGCCCAGCTTCAGAATGCTTTTTTCAAAACAAAGAAAAAGAGGAGGAAAAACACCACAAAATGTAAAAAGGATAAGAAAATATAACTTATGCCGTGTCATAGATATTTGAAGAAATGCAAACAAGGAGACTAAATTATTAAGAGCACTAATAATGTAGAAACATTCAGAAGAAATCTGTTTACGGATGAACATCTCTGTGGAGCAGAAATAATTACTACATTTTCAAATTATAGGATAAACATGGTGGCACATCCTGTAATCAGTGGGCTGGGGCAAGGGGGCTGCCTCAAGTCTGAGGACCAAAACTGCACAGGGAGACTATCACTAACCCTCCCCTCCCCACACAGATAAAATAAAAACAAGAACTTTTTAAATTAGTATGAGGTTAGGGATACAGCCTAGTGGTAGAGCACTTTCTTAATAGGTGGGAAGTCCTAGGTACAATTCCCAGTATCACATACACACAAAAACAGTACGGGAAAAATGATCTTTTAATGTCTTCTCTGGAGGGCATAAAAAAGACCAAGTACCTAGGCAAGGACTAGCATCATCCCGCTGAGCAAAACCATCCTTGCTTGTGGCCGGATGTGATTCAACAATCTGTAGGGCCAGCCTAGGTTTTAGTTTGGTGCCTCTAAGGCAACAGACAGGCTGGCGGCAACACCTCCAGACAAACAAGCTGGCAAGAGGTAAAGCCGCTAAAGACTGGGCTGGCAGAACTGCAGCTATGAACAAGCTTCCTGGGACCATTAGCACGGCCTGGGGATAAGTAAGCAGATGGGAATGGTGGGTCTGGAAGTACAGGGCTGGGCTTTAGTGGCCTGCATCCTAGGGGTTCAAAAACTCCTTCCTTGAAGCAGTTTTCACAGGATCATGCAAAGATGATGGGTATATCTGTTTTCTTCAGAACAGCCCGACTAGGTGCTTAAAAGAATGCGGAAAGACTACAGAAAGTTGGCCTGCTTGGTTCTTTCCCACATACAACCTGAAAAACCTAGGCATTTCCAGAAGACTCAGGAAGTTGAAAACCAATTAAATTAATGTCAACAGGCACTACCTTGGTAGGAGCTGAAATCAAGTAAATAAAAATGCAACAGGGGAGAGGAAAGCCACAGACAATTTACACCTGTGAGACAAAGCAACAGCCACCCTGATAAGGCCCTCCCTTCCGCTGCTGGGAGAGGGCGGCAAAGGCGAGTTCTCAGAATGGAGAAGATTCCAAGGACTTTGGGGAAGTGTCAGGTGATCTCACTTCAGGATGCCTGGGCCTGGAGGAACAGGAAAATGGATGGCTCCAAGACTCTGTTGGGAAGCAGCCCACTGCACCAACACAGACGGGCTCTGGGTATTAGGACAAAGCAGCTCATGAGAGGAAGCATCGCTGAGAAGGAGAAAGGAAAGCGAGCAATGAAAATATGCATTTAGGCAGGCCAAAAAACGAAACAAAACCATTGAACTGTCTCTTACTCTGTCTGTCCCAGCATCTGTATTGGAGACTCTGAAGAAGCATATAGCATCCTGCAGACATGCAGCCCTGCCTTCAACCCCACCTCTGCTCTCTCTCTAACCAACTCTTCCTGGAGGCTACAGGCACAGACCACACAGAAAAACATTCACCTCCTCACTTCTTAGACTTTCTTAACAGACTGAAGAATTTAACTAAAGTTAATCTAGTTACTAGTTCTAAATAGGTATTTTTTATTTTTGAACTGGGTTTCACTATGTAGCCCTGGCTGACCTTTAACTCACAGAGATCTATCTGCCTCTGCCTCCCAAGTGCTGGGATTATAAGAGTCTGCCACCACACCCAACTATCCTGTTCTGTGGCCTGGCCTTGAACTCAAGATCACCTATCTGACTCAGCCTCCCAAGTTCAGAGGCTACAAGCAGGGGCCAGCAAGCCTACTGCGTTCTTATATTCAGTTGATAAACAGCTCTCAGTAGCTCTGATCTAGATCTACAGCTATCAAGTGACTAGCACAGCACCCATAAAAGGTCCACTCTCAGGACCCGGGCTAGCTCCGAGGTACACCCTCAAGTGTAGTCAAGAACTATGTATGCATTTCAAGTGCATGTACTCAAACTCCATCTGGCTCACCTGTCTCCGTTAGCTGTGATTGACTCAAACTTGGATTTTTTCTTTGGGATTTCATTTTGAATTGAAGATGTAGAAAGTGTTTTCTGGCTTTTGATGGCAAAAAGAGAGAGACACATATTAGAAATCAAAGATTAATAAAACACTCCAAGGAAGTCTGTCAAATGGACCAACAATGTTCTGGGCAACAGCTTATTATCTGATTAGTAAAACCTACCAAGGTGGTTTATAGGATGCTTGGATGCATGAATAGCCAGCTTCCACAGGATCAAAAACCATTTTGACCTTAATGACTTACTACCTGACTATTAATAGGCATGAAAACAGAGCTTCTCAAACTGTAAGGAGAATGTCTCTGGTTTAGAGATTCTCTTCCATCTCCATCCCCATGCAGCTCCCATCCCATAGCTCTGGGAAGTACAGACAAGCTAGGCTCTGGCCTAGCCAAGGACATCCAGCAGGGAAGCTGTAACAAGAGCCAAGCGGGCACATTTGAACCCCTCACCTTCCTAATCACATCTCTATTAACTCACTCGGGACCTCAGTGCCACCATAAAACTAGCTTTAAGTCTAGTACAGTCACCCAAAGCTGGGAGTATGCAGCTGGCATGAAAGCCCTTTTTATTGACAGATGTCCCAATGGCACACCCAAGGGTGTTCCACGCTTTTTTAAAAAATAATTTTATCTTGTGTGGGTATTTTGTCTGCATTGTACATCTGCACACTGTGTGCATGACTAGTGTCTTCAAAGGCCAGAAGAGGACATCAGATCTCCTATAACTAGAGCTGCAGATGGCTGGGAGCCACCATGCAGTTGCTAGGAATTGATTTCAGATCCTCTGGAAGATCAATGAGTGCTCTTGACTGCTGAGCCACCAAACCTCTTATTACTTGACCTCTCCTCAGTATGTGATTCCAGGGATTGCTCTATCCTAGAAACTCTTGATCACTCAGACTTCCTATTTCAGAGATGTCTTCTTCCTGATTCTTGAATACCGAATACTTCCAACTTCTGTTCTCAGGGTCTCCTCTGAGATCTACCATCCAAACTCACAGTTCTAACGGGATGGCCTCCATTAGAGTCACAATGCAGACTCTAGACACTATGTGACATCCGACTGAATTAAGCTCGACTGAGGCTGCAGGACCTTTGATGTAAAATCATCTCCACGCTTAGTAATTTTTTTTTAAATGAGTTACTACTGGCTTGTTGTTGAAATAGGAGCGGCGGGGCTGCGTCCCCAACACCCCGGCCTCTTGGCTAGCTCATGCCCGAAATAACAACACACAAACTGTATTCATTTAAGAACTGCTTGGCCCATGAACTCTAGCCCTTACAGGCTAATTCTCGCACCTGGACTAGCCCATTTCTAATGATGTGTGTAAGCACCCCAAGGGAAGATTCTAGCCTATGTCCATCCTGGGTTGGAGTTGTCTGGGAGAGCTGAGCATGGCGTCTCTGCTCCAGAGAGCAGAGCTGTCGGGTCTGTCCGGGAGATTACGTCTTGGGAAGCAGAGCAGAGTCTTACCTCACTTCCTCTTCCTCCTGTTTACTCTTCCCACCCATCCTCTAACCTATCAGGGCCAAGGAGTTCCTTTATTGCTTAACCAATGAAATCAACAGATTGATATATGACACTCCCACATCAGCTTGTGTCTGAACCTTCTCAGATCCAGGCTCGGCAGCTATAAACAATTTTGCTACAAGCATTTCAAAAACTGAACTTTTTTCTCCCCTTCCTGGTTTATGCTCCATCTGTTCATCCCCATGAGAAACCAGAGAACTATCCTTTACTCACCCAGCAACTGCCTATATGTATTGACTGACCCACATATCTAAGTTTCTGATAATCTTCACTCCAAAGAACTTTGTCTGTCTGTCTGTCTCAATGCAGTGCCTCAGAGGGGTTCTCTGTATGTGTGCAGTAGGGGTGAGGGTGGGAGAAGCTGGGTATGTGAAGATGAGACAGGGTTTCATGTAGCTCAGGCTGGCCTAGAACTCCCTATGTAGCTCAGGCTGGCCTAGAACTCCCTAGGAAGCTGTGGCTGGCCTAGAACTCCCTAGGAAGCTGTGGCTGGCCTAGAACTCCCTATGTAGCTCAGGCTGGCCTAGAACTCCCTATTTATCTGTGGCTAGCCTAGAACTCCCTATATAGCTCAGATTGTCCTTGAACTCCTGATCTTTCTGCTTCTACCTCTCCAGAGTGCTGGGATTACAGGCTTGCACCACCACCTCCAGGCTGAGATGGAAGTTCTGGTTCTTAGCTTACCTATACTTGCATAAAGAGAGCAGCCCCAATGGGAAGAGCTAGAAACCCAAGGCCTTACAAACATTAGGCAAACACTATACTGAGCTACATTCCCAGTCCTTGGTTCCTTTTTTCCTGTGCCTTCTCGACTAGTCAGGCTAATTACTGCCAATACAAGCTAGGTCTTTCCCTTGCACAGGCCCCTCGGTGGCTGCCCACAAGCCCCTGACTATGTGTGCAGAGTCCTTTGCTCCTCCTCCAGTTTCCTACAACACAAAAGGGCTGATGTTTTCCAGGGCTCTGTGTGACCTCATGCCCTGTGGTCCTCTGAGCACTAGTCCCTCTCCTAGGACAACCCGCCTTGCCGTCATCTGGAAGTCCAATCCACCCAGGGGCAGTTACAGCAAGCTCTCCTCAAGCCAGCCTTCCTGCCTTTCTACCTTCCTGATCTAGATGAGTTTTCACAGTGGTACCCATTGCATTAGACTGTGATGATTTGATTATAAGTCTGTCTTCTCTACCAGAAGGCACACTACTGAGAGCAGCATGGCTTTTATTCATCTCTGTATTCCCAGCAGAGGCCCCGGCCCACGAGAGTACTTAATAATGCCTAGTGAACAAACAACCCATAATGACAGCAATAACAAAAAACAGCTAAAACCCACTGAATACTGTCATTAGAAAACAAACTGCTATTCATGTACTGCGTAATTTACCTTCACAACAACCCCATGAGGTAACACTAGTCTCTTTCTCATTGTCCATGAGAAAATTTGCTAGAGGCAGGATTAAACCTAAACCCTAGTTCTCATCATTGTACACACTCTAAATGGAAGCTTCAGCCATCAACAAAAGGACATCTTTCAACTGGCTCCCATCCTGACAAAATCTAAATACCTATCAACTATTTGTCCAAATATATATTTATTTATTTTTTAAAAATATTTATTTATTTACTTATCATGTATACAATATTCTGTCTGTGTGTATGCCTGCAGGCCAGAAGAGGGCACCAGACCCCACCACAGGATGGTTGTGAGCCACCATGTGGTTGCTGGGAACTGAACTCAGGACCTCTGGGAGAGCAGGCAATGCTCTCAACTGCTGAGCCATCCCTCCAGCCCCCCCAAATATATATTTAAAATGCTCTCTCTAGCCACAAAATAAAACATCCAATCCCCAAGGGATTATGCATGATTAAAGTTGAGAATTCCATTTACAAGTTCTACACACCTTAAAGACACGATACAGAAACCTCCCCGGCCTTTGGAGACATAGGAACTATAAATATGTCAAGCAAGAGATTTGCAAAGGCTGATAACAAGAGGAAACTTCTGAGAGGGCACCCTCCTTGACGGCCTGAGGAGTGAGGCACTTGGACTGCCGGCCCCTGCAGTTCTCTCATGGACCTGGGGTTACCTGTTGTAATGGCTGCCACCACTCAAGCGGCTGTACTGCTCCTTCTCCTGATGGCCCGCTCGAGAAGAGCTGCTCAGGTGTTTCCTCTGTTCTTTGGTCTTCTGAAGGACACGCTTGTAGGACAGCGTGCACAGCCAGCACAGCAGCTTCCCATCTACCTGAAAGACGAGACAAAATGAAGAGGAGATGAGATCAGTGCTTAACCCTGAGCACTAAGACCATGAGGACTGGCAATAGAACCACTTTGGCTAATCTCCAGTCCTGCTACTTACAAGCTGGGTGAGCCTGGAGCAAGTCACAGGATTTAGTGACGATGTACATAAACCACTTAATATGGTGCCACACACGTAAAAATTGATTGCTTTATATAAAGTGTATGTCTTCAATCCCAACATTCCAGAAGCAGAGGCAGGTGGATCTCTGAGTATGAGACCAGTCTGGACTACAGAATGAGCTCCAGGACAGCCAGGCCTACACAGAGAAACTTCTTTTCTTTTGGGACAGGCTCTTACCAAGTATCCTTGGCTCTCCTGGAACTCACTAGTAGTCCACAGAGATCTGTCTGACTTTTCCAAGGGCTGGGATTAAAGACATGTGCCATCACACCTGAGCCAATGTCTTAACTGTTTTAGGATTATCTCTTGGACCTGAATCCAGGTCTGTAAGGGTAACCCAAGCCAGCTCCACAATCCCAACAACTTTGCTTTTAAACTCTAATTTTAAACTCTTACTCTGCTTTAAGGGGAATATCCAATATAGGTGTGGTGGCTCATAAGCTTGAGGTCAGCCTGGGCTACAAACTGAGTTAGTTCCAAGCCAGGTACGAAGCACACATGTGGTATGCAAGTATACAGCAAGCTCAATGGGTAAGGCACTTGGCACCAAGCCTGTCCACCTAGTTTGATCCCTGAAACCCACATGGTGGAAGGAGAGAGCTTATCCACCCGCCCACCTCCCCACACACACATGCGTACATTGTGGCAACATCCCTCTCAGACACACAATAAATACATGTAAAAAAAATTATTTAAAGAAATGCTAAAATATATTGGTCTAGATTTGATAAAGAAAACAGTCTAACCCCCCAAGGTCAACAACAGAAGCAGAACAGGAACTCAGAATTATGCCTACCTGATTTGACCCAATATTTAAAAAAAAGAAAACCCAGCAATTTACCTTCTTTCGATCATCTTTCCTGTCAAACGCACACTGCTGCTTGCACTGTTCACAAGAGTATGGGGGTCCATACTTCTTCTCTGAATTCGTGCAGCGCTGGCATTTATTGCCAATAAACGCTGCAATTATGTTGCAATACTGACAAGGCTTAGGCTTAAAAGAGAGAAAAAATATCAAGTAAGTATGTCATAAAATACCGGCCCACTTTTTATAGCAGCAATTCCCACACTGTAGCCCATGACACATGGTAAACATGTATTCCCAACACCATGCATCTGCCCCTACAGTGTTTAAATGAAGCCCAATTCTCAGTATCATAAAAAAATAACCCCCATAGGATTACCGATTTTATTTATTTATTTGTTTGTTTGTTTGGGGGGTTTTAGAGACAGGGTTTTTCTGTGTAGCTTTGGAGCCTGTCCTGGAACTAGCTCTTGTAGACCAGGCTGGCCTCGAACTCAAGAGATCCGCCTGCCTCTGCCTCCCGAGTGCTGGGATTAAAGGTGTGCGCCACTACGGCAATTATTGATTTAAAAAAGTAACAAATAATCAAAGCTCGTAAGTGTCCATGAAAAAACTTTAACAAAAAAAAATCCAATAGAACATAGTTGAATTTGAGGCCAGCTTGGGACTCATGAGACATTGTCTCAGAAAAACAGGCCAAACATGGAGGTAAACACCTTTAATCCCAACTCTCGGGCGGCAGGCTCAGGTGGATCTCTGTGATTTTGAGGCCAGCTTGTCTACAGAGTGAGTTCCAGGACAGCCAGAGCCACACAGAGACACCCTGATGCTAATCAACAAAACAACAGCCAAAGAGACAGCTCCATGGGCAAAGCTGGCCAGTCCCAGAACTAAAAAAGGTGGAGGAGAACTCCCTTCACAAATCTGTCCTCTGACCTTCACATGTGAGCTGTGTCAACACACAATGGACTCAGGAAGGAAGGCAGGAAAGAAGGGAGGAGGGAGGGAGACGGGAGGGGAAAAAAGGAAAGCCAAGTGTTTTATATGTATATGGGAATGGAGTTACACGTGGTTGTATTCTTTACCACTCATGGCTCCAGCCTGGAAGGCTGAGTTCTGAGAGATCTTAGTACTCACTCCTGTTGAGATTTTGGTTCAAAAAAATCCTACTCACCGTTCCATACAGCTGCACGTTCTGAGCACACTTCTTGCATATTGTATTGGTTTTACTGTTAAAACAATGAAACAAGACTTCTCTTAGAACATCTGAAAACTATTCTGTTGAAGTTCAAAGAATTTGTCATTGCTAAGGTTAGGGTTAGGGGATGTATACTCTGGACATTTGATAAACTAATGATGAAACCCTAGTTCAAAGAGAGAATGAGTTACCTCAGATTATCCCCCCCCCCCCCCCGCCACCCCGCCTCCACCCCAGTATGGTATTTTACTCATATAGCCTGTACTGGCTTCAAACTCATTATGTGATTGAGAACAGCTTTACCTTCCTATATGCTAGAACTACAGGTGTGAGGTCACCGTGCCAGATTTAATTATTGACACCCTTTAAGTATCCTTAAGCAAAACTATCATGTATAGAAAAGGCCCTCAAAGTATGTTGTTAAACTGAAACCAAATACCAGAAAGGAAGTTCCTTCTCTCCACTTCAGATGAGTAGCTGAAGTTTAAGGTGAGGAATAAAATGTGTGTCTGGGTATGAACTTGAGATCACAGTCTCCTTTGCAAGGAAGAATGTGGAAATCATACATGGGAAATAGATGCTCTGGACAAATACTTAGTGTCTGTGATTTCCCTTATTAGGCACTGATCAAATAAATACTTCCTTTGCTTTGTGAAGATCTAAAGGTCATGATAGGACCAAAATGCCTGAACTAAGCAATCTGCCTACAGAAGCTCCATCTTCAAATAAAGCCAAATCGGCCAATGTGGTGGCACATGCCTTTAATCCCAATACTCAGAATCAGAGGCCAGCATAGCAAGTTCCAGGCCAGCCAGAGCTACACAGTACATCACACACACAGCCTAACCCTTTACACATACCATTTCTATAGAGGGGGCCATCAAGTTGAAAAGGAGAACAACAAGGTGGTCATGGTGGCACACATCTTTAAGCCCAGCGCTTGGGAAGCACGGGCAGATGTATCTTTCAGTTTGAGACCAGCCGGTTTACAAAGCTAGTTCTAGGGTAGTCAGAGCTACACAGAGAAACCCATTTTAAAAGATAAGAGGGGGGGAGGAGAGAGGAAAAGAACAAAGAGAAAAACTAAATACCTAAGAGTCAAGAACATTTAAACTGAATTGAAACTCAGGACATGGTGGTGTGGGTCTGTAGCCCTAGTGCCTGTATGGACACAGCTGATAGAGCACTTGCCTACACATGGAAGGCCCTGAGTTTGATTCCAAGCACTCCAAAAAAAAAAAAAAAAAAAAAAAAAAAAAAAAAAAAAAAAAAAAAAAAAAAAAAAAAAAAAATAAAAAAAAAAAAAAAAAAAAAAAAAAAAAAAAAAAAAAAAAAAGAAAGAAAAAAAAAGAGAAAGAAAGAGATTTAACTGTAGTTTTATGGAAGGAAGTACCTTTTTGTGTTTACTAGAATATACTTCTTTTGTTCTTATTTTTTGAGACAGGGTTTCTTTCTGTAACAGTCCTGGCCATCCTGGAACTCATTCTGTAGACCAGGCTGGACTTGAACTCACAGAGATCCATCTGCCTCTGCCTCCCAAGTGCTGGGATTAAAGGTGTGCAGCACCACCGCCCAGCTTGTTGGTTTTTTTGCACAGGTCTTACTATGTAGCTTTGATGGTTGGCCTGCAGCTCATTATGCAAACCAATGCTGCAACTAAAGGACTGCTAGTATTTCATTGTATGAGTGTGTGTATGTGTGGTGGGGGAGACTTAAAAAAAAAAAAAAAGAGAGAAACTATTACTACTCTTGTCTACATAGTAAGATCCCACCCAAAAACAAACAAAAAAAGAGTTGCTACAATTAACTACAGCCCTATGTGTACATGAAATTTAAGCAGAAACTTTACGAAATCAGTCTATTTATATTTATTTGTTTGTTTGTTGGTTGGTTGGTTTGTTTCTTGAGATGGGGCCTTTCTTTGTAGCTCTGGCCATCCTGGAACTCACTCTGTAGACCAGGCTGACCTTGAACTGGAAGATCCACCTGCTTCTGCCTCCTGAGTACTGGGATTAAAGACCTATGCCACTATGCTTGGCATATATATATATTTTAATGTTACTATGTTTTGAAATGTGTGTTCTGGCCGGGCAATGGTGGCACACACCTTGAGTCCCAGCCCTAGAAAGGCTGTAGGTGAGAACTGCCTCAAACTGAAAGCCAGCCTGGACTACGGTCTCAAAAGAAAAAAAATCAAAAAACAAAACAGCAAGAAAAAGAAAACCTCTTTGGTGGTCACCCAGTGCCCTACCTCTCCTGCTGGTACTCAGTCCTGCAGTAGGTGCACTTCACAACAGGGTGTGCAATCCGGCATTCCTGAAACGAAAGGAGGTGATCATTGGAAAAGGCAGTGGGGAGCGGAAAGAGACTTCGGGAGGAAGCAGCAGAGCCCGGGCCACTATGCTTGAAGTGAGTCATTTACCACTCTGGACCTTACTTTCCTCCCCTGTCATATCTGCATCACGTCCCTGCTGTTGGTGTGGGGCAGGAATTGTATGGACTACTCATAAACTATAAAACAAATACATGCATGAATAAGCCCCAGACTGGTAATCAGACTCTAGATTCCAGTGCTAGCTATTTGTCATTGTGGGATACCAACGAGGACTTGGGAAATGAAGGAGACAGAATGAAGCCGTTTTGTTTATAGAACTTCCTAAAAAAAAAAAAAACCATAGTCTTAGACTCGACTTGATAGTGCAGGCCTTTAATCCCAGCATTTGGGATGCAGAGGCAGCCAGATCTCTGAGTTCCAGGACAGCCAGGGCTTCAAGGGAGACCCTGTCTCGGAAACCAACAAAAAGAAAATTTTAAAACGTAGTTTTTATTGAAGCCTATCTTCCAGACACAGTAAACACGAATAGCTGAAGGAAAGAGGAAAAAATGGTCAACGGCCACTTCACACGGGCTTGGTGACTTAACTGTTAGAGCAGTTGAACAGACTAAGTGGGATGAAGGAACAAATAAAAACGCTAGGATGTCAGGGGTTAAAAAATGGTTAGGGCAAGGCAGAAGGCTACCAACTAGGTGCTAAAAAGTCATCTGATTCGTGGGTTCCAAGGCTACGTTGGAGAACTTTTTTTATTTTCCCTAATAAAGCCTTGCAACCTCCAACTTTGAGATTGGCTGAAAAGTGCCCCCATGAAGTGTCCGAGTTCGAAACATTCCTCACAGGCAGCACCCGACTCCGGGGTTCATTCTCAGGCGGGGCAGGGGGGTCCTTGAGCCCTCATTCTGTACCCAGGGCGATCACAGCAGTATAAAAGGCGGTCGAAGGGGGATCTAGCCGGGGGCCAGTCGGAGACAAACAAGAGACTCTCCGTCCCCTCCCGCGACCTCACCGGGTCCAAGAAGAAAACCCCGCCGTTGCTAAGCACCGGGACACGCCGCTGCCAGGGCCTGGATTCGACCCCGGGCTCCCCCACGTGCCCCGCAATCCTCGACCAGCCGGGCGCCGTTCCCCGGCGAAGCGGGCCGGCCACACCCTGCCCGAGGGGACCCCGGCGGGCGTCCTCGCAGGACCGAGAATTCCGAGCCGCGCCCGGAGTGTCCCCAGCTCCCGGCCGCCGCCCCAGCCCGCGCACCTTGCACAGCTGCTGCCCCTGAGACAGCGCCTCGAAGGGGAAGCGCTGGTGGCACTTGGTGCAGGCGTAGAGCGCCGCCATCTCCGGCCCGGCCCGTGCTCACCGCCGCCCCGCCCGCCGGCCCGCCGCTTTATCTGACAGTCTCAGGTACAACCTGGCGGCGGCTGCCGGCCGCGGGCTGCGGAGGGCGGGCGGGCGAGGGCGGGCCGATGGCGCGGGGGCGGGTTCTCCGGGGCTGGGTGGCCGTTCGCTGGTTCGCCTGGACGTCGATCAAGCGGGAGGGGGCGGAACGTGGCGTTCCCGACGGCTCTGATTCGGTCTAGCTTGGACTACGCCACTATGACGCGCGGGGCCGCGATTATGTAAAGCGCAGTCACGCGGGGGCGCCGCCTGAAGAGAGCGTCTTCCGACCGGGGAAATCGCGGAAGCTCTCTGGCTCCGCCCACTTCGCCGCTGTGGGCCTGCCTTCGCCCCGCCTCTCCTGGGCCACGGGCGCATCCAGGCTTCTCGCGATACTCCGCGGAGCTGTGATGTTTTGGGTTGCCATGGAGCTTCCTGCTAGGTGAAAGAGGGCAGGATGGGGCGATAGTGCTGTGAGGTCGGATTCGAACTCCGAGGCTACACTAAGCTTGAACCAGAAGGGCAGCCAAGACGGAAACTCTATCCTCGGAGCAGGCGGGTTTGCTCAGCCCTTTAAGAGGGAAAACAGGATAATTAAGATGAATGTCGTCTATGGGCTAGAGAGATGGCGCCAAGTGACTGCCAAAGCTTGTCCTCACCCATCACGTCTTCCTTTGTGTCTTATTTTGTCTTGAGACTGGGACTCACTATGCTCTGGCTGACCTGGAACTCGCTCTGTAGACCAGGCTGGCCTCTAAATCACAGAGATCCGCCTGCCTCCTCCTCCTCTTCCTGTGTGGTGAGATCAGAGGCTAGCACCACCATGCGCAGCCTCTCTGTGTCCTTAGCAACAATGGCTTGGTGTAATTAGAGGAAACTCCCCCAGGAGTTAGAGGCACTTGGATCCTTGTAAGTGGGAGAATAGCCTTGGCTACACAGCAAGTTCCTGGTATCAGAATAGATAGGCTATAGAGGGGATCAGCCACCCCTTAATCAGCACCTTCCTTAATCTGCTAAACTCAGAAGCCCCTCCCCTCTAAAGTGTATAAAAGTATGGGATTCTCGGTGCTCTATGGTTTGCTTTTAGATCTCCCACACCCCTCCCACCGCCCAGGTTCTCCAGCCCAAGGTCGGACATTACTAAATGATGTTTTGCCTAACTCCATCTCAGTGCATCTCTCTTCTGAACCTGGGAAAAATCAGAGTTACTTAATGGCCCAAGCCATCCAGGACTACATTGTTGTATGATGTTTACTCTTTAGGCTTATTTAGGGGCCCACCACCCAGATCCCAGATCTGGCTTATTCTTTTTTTGTTTGTTTGTTTTTTTGTTTTTGTTTTTGTTTTTGTTTTGTTTTGTTTTTCGAGACTGTGGCTTTGGAGCCTGTCCTGGCTTATTCTTTGTTGTGGTTGTGGATGTCTGGCCTTAGCTTGACTTGTTTCTTGTCTGCTTTTCTTAAATTATCTCAACTACCTTTTCCCTCTGGGCTTTTTTCTTTTTTTACTTCTGTATATCTTATTTTTCTTCTTCCTCTGTGACTGACTGGGTAGCTGGGTGGCTGACCCCTGATCTCCTCCTCTCCTTGTTGCCTTGCTCCTCGCTGGCCTTGTTTCTCCTTCTATTTATCCTGCCAGCCCCGCCTACCCTTGCTTCTGCCTCACTATTGGCCGTTCATCTCTTTATTAGAACCATCAGGTGTTTTAGACAGGCACAGTAACAGCTTCACAGAGTTAAACAAATGCAGCATAAACAAAATCACACACCTGAAAATAATATTCTGCAACATTTCCCCTTTTCTCTTTCTAAACAAAAATGAAAAGTTTTAACTTTAACATAGTAAGACTGTACACAATAAGAACGATTATCAAATAAAGATTACATTCATAATGTACTGAATTTTAATTCATTTGTGTCTGGTAAACTTATAGAAAATATTATCTATCCTACCTTAGTAAATTCAAAATTTTATACCTAACTTACTTTCTATCATATCTAAGAAAACCTGCAGCTATAAATATATCAAAAGCACCAGAAGGATATAATGTTACGATTTCCAAAAACTCTATAAATGAAGAGAAATTTAGAGACAATCACCCTAAGTTCCTTTGCAGCATTGGGGTATCCATCTTCAGCCTACAGACCCATAGTATCTGGCAGACTTTTCAATGAAGCAGAAAATTTGAAAGACTGTCTTGCCTATATTGGCCGATTGTCAATCATTTTCCTTTGTGCCCTGTAGAATGTCTGGCAGCTTCTTTTGTGAAGCAGGAACCCTGAAGGACCATCCCATCCTATTTTGGCAAAGTTTAGCAGTCACTTTCCTGTGGGTCCAGCATGTCCAATTTATACAACATACTGTCAAGCAGTCCAAGCAAGAGCAGTTTCTTGCCCAAATGGCTAATCTTGCCACAATGAAAGCAAACTCCATAAGGAGTTTCTTTAATGCCCATGTCTCTGAAGTAAATTGGTGCTGCCAGGAACAGATATGTCTTGTTGCCATGAAAAATTTTAACAAAGCATTTTAAATGGCATATTATATAGATCTTTGAAATATTTGAAGACTTGGCCGGGCA